ATTTATAAGTCTGTCATTCACCCATGCTGTAAATATTGCGGTCGCCTATAGTCCGGTGTTCCTGCTATACATTTAATGATTCTTGAGAAAATCCGAAATATTATTGGTTCGGGCCTGGCATCTCGGCTTTAGTCAATTTCCCACCGGCGTAATGTATCAACGCTGTGTCTTTTCTGCAAATACTTTCATAGTAAATTTTCTTATGACTCTTCCGTTATGGTACCAATAATTTTTGAATTTACTAGCATTTCCAGATGGTGGTGGTGGTGGGGGATGTATTCATATAATTTTAGAGTTGAAATGGCTAAATATAACCATATTTTCTATGGTAACATTTTCTTCTCTCGCACTTCTCGCTTGTGGAACTCTCTTCCGGGTTCCATGCTTTCCAGTCAACTTTTATCTTCAAAACATTAAATACGATACCAATCATTATCTACTGTATTCTCGATTCCTCTTGTTTTATACTTCTTACACTTCTATATAATAAATGCATATGTCAGCGTGTCACTGTAAAGGAAACAACTCTCTAACTTTCAATAGCCCATCTTCTTTCTATATAATAAATGCGAATGTCAGAGTGTCACTGAGTCACTCTTTTAAAACCTTACACATAGAGGCTGTAGCCTAACATATTATACAACTTCGTGAGCAAATTATAAATATTCTGGGTCGGATCCGAAGCCACAATCATGAAATTTAGGATTCCATAGTTTTCATTACTGTGATTGTTTTCGTCGATTTTTGTACGTGATTTTTTGCGAGAATTTTTTGTACGATAACAATTCCTACAATATGAAAGTAAATTTGGGCATAATCGAAATTAATTAGGAATCCTAGCGAAAGTCACCCAGGAAATGAAAATAATTTTTTGTACCGAAAGTAAGGAACTACGTATATCAAATTGTCTTAAAATTAAGTTACGGCGGAAGAATTATCATTGAACTTTTAAAAGGTAAGTTAAATATTAATGAAATACTTAAATACAGCGATCAATTTTGAGGTCTTCTGTAGTTTATTGTTGCCTATCGCATCTATTCATCCCTACCTATTTGTGATGAAGGCTCAATGGAAAACCCTCCACGGGAGCTAGTTTAAATGCCGCTCAACAAGGTGGCTTTTAAGCTCGATAATAATGATTTTGTTTTTTCTTATTATTTCACACACTGTAGCACCGTGTGTCTTAGTGACCTTACTGCTTTTGCTTGGTGTAAAATTAATGAATATATATATATATATATATATATATATATATATATATATATATATATATATATATATATATATATTCTCTCACTGTCATTTCTAGGCTCCTCTTCCGTTTTCTGTGGATATACTTGATAAATATATCAGCATATCTAAAAAAAAACACCCTCCCTGTAATTAGTATATGCTTCTTTACTAAGATGGATATGAATACATCTCTTTTCTTCTTTATCTCTTTTTTCTATCCTAATTCTGTTTGACTGTCTTTTATCTTCCACTCTCTCAATCACTTTTTCCCTTTCAATATATATATATATATATATATATATCACAATGATTTCTCAATCACATTATCCCTTTCAAGGTATATATCTCCTTCAATCCTCCCGCTACCAATCTAAACCTTCCTCCTCAAACACATGCGTGCATAAATTTAATATAATAATACTGAATGCTTGTTATACCTGGAATATGTCACCAATTTATTTGTATAAAAATGATGATCTAAGGAATTACAATCGAATTTCGATTCTAAAGAAATAAATTATCATCACCAAGAAACCTTAAAGTTGTCTTAATATATATATATAGATATATTCCTAGTTTTCGTTGGAAAATAGTCTTAGCCAAATGAATTTGTACCATTACGTTATTTGCCTGTCATCATGACGAGTCTTTTGGTCAGTTCGCATGACCTCATGTTGGCGTGTGGCAAATGCATCAACTTGGAGAGAAGGACACAATTACTGAGAGGATGACCATCTCATTTAGCCAGCGTTTCGTCCTCCCACTTTTTCTTTTCATACTTGTTCTTCGCCCAAATGACAAAATAAACAGGAGAATGAAAATACGTCGATAAGGGGAGGGCTATACGAATTGAAAACAAGGAGAGAGAAAAAAAAAATGAAGAGGGAGATTTTAATTGTACCGGAAGAAAAGAATTGGCAATGAGAAAAAGAAATTCAGAAAGGAGCGAAAATGAAAATCAGTCGTTATGTCGTCTGCTGTCATGGAATGAGGCTGTTTGACAAATTTAATTGAAATGACTGGTTATACCCGAATAAAGTCGTTGTCAAATCTGCTGCCATAATCCCTTTACATGGACGTCAATAAGCCTTTCTTTTAATTACGCATTCATGTACAGATATTCGTGTATTTAACGCTTATTGTTTTAAGCAAACCTATAAAATTATTTAAAGATAGCATAGTGTTTGGAAACCATATCAAGGATTAAGCAATTATAGCTGAAATGGCTAGATGCAACCGTAAGTTCTATGCTAACAATTTCTTCTATTGCACTTATTACTTGCGGAACTGTCTTCCGGTTCTTGCTTCCCGACATTTTACATTAAAATTTTCTATATGGAACCGTAAGTTCTATGATAAAAAATATCTTCTCTTGCACTTTTTGCTTGTGGACCTCTCTTCTGGCTTCTAGCTTTCCAGTCCACTTTGATCTTCAAATATGTAAACGCAATGTCTATCGCTATTTTTTGTCTTTTTAGTTCCTGTTCTTTTATTGTTCTCCTTCCTTAATAATTGTTTTATTTTATTCACATATTCTCTAACACTTAGTAATCTCCTTGCTTTATTGCCCTGTTTGGATTGAAACGATTAAATAAGTCTTTTAATTAGTCATGTGTGTATTTAACACTGACTTTTTTATGCATATTTATAATATATTTTTTGTCTTTCTTTAATGCCGGTTTTTTTTATTGTTGTCTCTTCTTAATAATGTTTTTTTTTATTCTCATATTCTCTAATACTCAGTAATCCCCTTGCGTTTTAGTGGCTTTATTGCCTTGGTTGGATTGAAATGATTAAAAAGTATTTTAATTAGTCATTCATGTCAAGACACTCGTTCATTTAACGCTTATTGTTTTCTGCACACTTATAAAATAATTTGAAGATAGCAGTGAGTTTAGAAACCATATCAGGGGTTGAGCAAATCATTTTGATTTAAAATGCATAAAAGATTATTCAACCATTATTCTCTTTCAGTAACTGTAAGTAAAGTCCGCTTATTATATATGCATTATCTACAAGATGCAGATGAATTTTCTAGATGAACACGAGAAACCATTCACTCTCTCCCAGAAACTGTAACTAATATCCGCTCGACATAGATATTAGGTTGGTGCAAAAATAATGACGTAATAATGTCGTTTTTTTGACATTAAAAATACGTCAAAAAACGACATTATTACGTCATTATTTTTGCACCAACCTAATACATTATTTACCAGATCTAGATGAATTTTTAGCAGATCACAGTAGAATATACGCTTTCCCGCAGAAACTGTACAAAGGCCTGATTAGTACAGTTGCATTATTTACCAGATCTGAACGCATTTTCTAGCAGATCATCATAGATAATACCCTCTCCCCTTCAACATGTAAAAAAGTTTGGTCAGCATACTTGTATTATCTACCATCACCGAACAGACCATGAACTGTCACTTTACCATGTCAGAAGTGTTCTGTCAAAGCGGATCCTTATCTTGGACATTATTTTTATAGTGAGGTGCACCCTGTACAATGACCGGGTGGGGGGCGACTCGAGGTAGAGGCTTAACAGTAAGAGGTAGTTTATGCGGATAGGAGAGGAAGATAACGGTTTCTCCTAGACTTGAACAAGTTAAGATTGTAATGATGATTTATTTTCCACACTACAGCACCTTTTGTCAAAGATGAAACCTCACAAGCCTCTCACTAGTCTATCGCTATTTCCATGACAAGTGATCTGACGAGCTACATTCCTTGGTTACTTACTTTTGTAGCTGGAACCTGCACAGCCACGTACACAGAGACGAATCTTCCTCCTCCCCATTTGTATTCCATAAGTAAGAAGTAAATTCCACATGGACAGACTTTTCAAAAGTTATGTTGTGTAGAGCAGACTCCCGACAGAATACTTTCCCGATCTTAACCACTTCAAATATAGAGTTAATTGTTATATTTCCTACATCATACTTATTATAAAACCCAGGTTGTGTGTGTGTGTGTAACGTTTATATATTGGATCGGATTTCCTACATTTTTCAACCGATTTCAACAAAACTTCACAGGACTACGTAAAATTACCTTGCGGTGGTTCCCACAGCGCCAAAAATTGGAAAAACACAATTGTTTTTGCACGAAATCAATTTGAAAACCTGATTAAGAGGCATCCCGAGAATGAAAGGGGGACAACTCATATCGAGTTATACTTATTATAAAACACACGTTGTGTGTGTGTGTGTGTGTGTGTGTGTGTGTGTGTGTGTGTGTGTGTGTGTGTGTGTTCGTTTATATATGGGATTGGATTTCCTACATTTTTCAACCGATTTCAACAAAGCTTCACTTTTTTTGGGCAGGTAGTATTTCTTATTGTCTTGCACACTTTTTTCTTTATTTTTACATTCAGACAATACAAGACAATTGTTTATAATAAAATTCTATTTAATCGGTAGACTCATAACGATTGAAAACAATGTTTTTGTTTGAGTTTGGGTTTGACCAATTCGTAAAAAAACAAACAAACAAACAAAAATCTAATTAAGACATGCGTGTCCGTCAACCTTAAACAATAATCTTTGTCAATTTTATTTTTCAGTTTTTATGATACTTAATCTATCTGTTACTGTTACATCCCCGGGTAACGCCGGGCTCTACTGCTAGTAAGCTAATGAATTGCACTTCTTCCTTTCTCTTAAGATTATGAAACATCTCACAGTAACCCTCTACCGCGAGTGGCTCTTGAGCCTTGTATTTGATGAAAATTAGAATAAAGTTAACAGATCACATCAGATAATATGCTCTCCCTCTCTCTCTCTCTCTCTCTCTCTCTCTCTCTCTCAAAAACATTAACTATGGTCTACTTGGATTAGTTGCATTATCTCACATGATCTAGGTTTTACTGATGATGTCGCACTACTTACTAACAAACAAACTTCGAGACTGCAGTCACACGTTGCCTGATGCCTGCAAATTGTATGTAAAACATAACATTTCATCAACGGTAATCATTCTGTCAAACATCTTTAAAAGGCGCGAAAGATCAAATAAACTTTGAGTTTCTGCTCATCAGTCAAAAATTGAGGCAACATTTTTGAGAATTTTTTCGATTTCCCAAATTCGTTGTTATAGTCTACGGCACTGTTTCATTTCTCTTATTCAGTTCTGCTATAAGTTACACATGTGATGACCGATCTGAGCGCAGTACGGTGCGCAATCGGCCCACATTTGCATCTGTATGTTGTGGTCTTGGCTGCCTACTTTTTGCGTTACAAGGCACAATTCGCGTTCATCCTTGAACCACACGTGTCGCTCAAAAACAATCGATTTTTATAGCTTGTTCGCCATAATTCATTTTAATGAGTTTAACCTTTCACTTTCACTTTCATTTTTTGCAAACGTCACGCAAAACTTGAAGTTACCCTACTGCTCCAGTTTCCCTTCCTTCAATTTTTTCACCATCAGTCTAGACAAAATCCAAAGAACATGTAATGTCAATGGCTGTGACCTGGCATCTTTTCTTCAATTACTTTCCCGTCGATGTAAATTAGCTTCCCCGTAACTTTCTATAAATATTTTTATTTGAGTTGATTTGACGAGTTCTCCCGTTTGGTACCTCCATTTCATGATTATAAGTTTAGTGCAAGGTTATCAAAATTGACTGATTTTATTTTCGAAATTACTTCATGTAACCGTAGGTTCTATCCTAATACTTTCTTCTCTCGGACTTTCAACATCTGGCTTGCCTCTCAGCTTCGATTTTTTCAAATATAGATGCAACGTATATCGTCATCAGGCTCCATGAATCCTATTCTTATTCATTCTAAGTAACATATCAGTAACATTCAGTTAACGGCTTTATCCACTTGCTTGGCAGTGAAACGAGTAAAAATTAATGAAACCTATAACGTTTTCTACTGCTCTGCGTTGCAAGAAAGAAGAATTAAGAACATATCAGAACGTGCTTGGGTACACATTATCATCATCATCCTCATCTTGCGGCCTCAGCCGAGATTGAACTCACCAATACTTTGATTGGTGTAGTTCATAATCTTGTCAAATAGCTGAAGTCTTGATGCTTCGCTAGGGCTATCAAGGGTGTTTTTATCGTGACACCATCACTAAATGGATTGCCAACCAAGGCTCAGAGAGACTCCATTCACCCTCCTCTAAGAGCAGGTTTGAATTCAGAGTTTTCCTTCTCCTAGACCAGTTGCCATCCAAGGCAAGAACCCAGTCTGCCCTGCTATTTACCGATAGATTTATAGAAAGAGGATTCACACCTTTCCCAAGGGTGTTAGCACGTAAGTGAATGTAATGGATTCGACTGGAATTCGAACTCGGCTCTCCGATTCCTCAATCCAAGCCGCTATCCATTACTCCACCGTGCCTCATAATTTTATCCCAGCAACACGTTGTCATAATTGTGGGAATTAAATTTCCATACCTTATATAATTGTTTCTGGGTTAAGGGAAGTGACCCATAGGAAAAAAAAAGAATTAAAAAGATCAGAGATTGATTTAACGTTGTATGACCTATAAATATTTCAGGTTTCTGAAATGTTGCTTTTTTATAACAATGACTAGATGATCTGCGCTTCAATGTAGGGCGGGGAGCAATAAGACTGCTTGATTATTACTACTAAATTCTTGCGGCTTTGTGTTACAATTAAGACGAGATTAATAAATAATCTTACTTCAGACACTATTATTTATTTTCCCGGTAACTACAACAAATACCAGAAGCACAATAATGCCATTGAATGATAATAACATGGAATAATAATATTGAAAAATACCATTGAAAAGAGTCTCTTTTCATTTAAAAAAGAAAATCAGTTTTCTACTTAGTCTGCTCCAGTAACGATACACTTCACAAGTGATGAATATCTTCAAGATGGACACAATTGTAGAACCGTCCAGAACGTCGGCTCTAATATATACCGTTTTCAATATTGGTAAATCACATTACGCACCATCTAACTGTGCTCGCTTCCACTGTTTCGTTTCCATAAACAGTCAGCAAGCATCGATTCTGTCTCAAAGAAATGAAATGAAAATCTAAATGCACATATATATGTCCAGTAGCTGCAACGTGTCCATAAATTTTTCAATATATGAAAATGTTGTTTCCCCGCGAAAGCACGTGGGAGTTTTTTTTTACAATTTCTGTCATAACCCAGGAAGGGTTACTGAATGAGGGATAACAAAAATGGAAATGAAATGGTAATCTTTATAAAATCAACAAAATACAATACTCGCCAGCGGCATGAAGTAGGTAAACCACTGCTAGTGGTGGACTACTTAGACAGCATATTACCCCCACAAACAGTATTCAACTCATTTATGAGGATTGCGACTTACACATTAGTGTTCACAGGTACGGTATATAACAATTAATTTTACCGCCTCCTCTTCTTTTCTTCTTTAAAAGATTCTTTACCTGATTCTTTTTCGCTTTGTTTTCTTCTTTTACCCTCTCTACCCTCAACTAAATGACGTTTCTCGTTTCTCTTTCTCACTTTGTTCCTCTCCTCTTTCGCCGCTTTATCGTTTCTTTCCATTATAATTGCTCTTCTACCTTTCTTTTTTTTTTTTTTTTGCATAACTATCACTTCCTCACTTTCTTACATCATTCTTCTTCCTCTTTCCGCATTTCTCTGTTTCTATTTCTCATCCTTCTTTTCTTTCTGGGTTACGGCCATATCACGTTGAAACACCGGTTCTCGCGAGATCACTGAAGTTAAGTGTAACGTGTGTGATAAAAGAAATAATATAAAGAGAAGTATCGCGAACTAACTTTGATATTAAAAAAAAAGTTTTATTATAATTTTAGTGATTATAGTTAGTTGATAAAAAGGAAAAAAAATCATAAAGGCTTACCTCCTGATGCGGCATTCACCCTGGGCGGATTGAGCCGGCTTCTTCCTGTTGTGAGAAGAAGAGTCTTTGGGATAAATTACAGAAGTAGGGTACCCAGGCCTACTCGGATAACGTTCTTTGCTTTCGCGGGTTCCCACAGACGCAGAGACAGGAACGACCAGAAGCCGCCGGTTGCCGATGCAGACGCTCCTTGATTTTCACCAGAGCCCTTGTTAGCCGGCGTGTGTGTGAAATAATTTAGAACGATTTCAAAATAACATCAGTCGGGTGTTGCTGGGTTTTGTGGTATATGTCAGGTCAACAAATGGAAGTAAACGGACTTCTTTGAAGCAGATTTCTGCAACAACTGAATTCGCCAGCCAAGTCGCTTAATTTTGACGCCAACATACAAATACGAATACCCGGATGAAAGACCTCCGCTTATAAGGTCATCCGATCACATCACATAGTTATTTGAAATCTTTAATCTATATGACCTAGAATTCGGAAAAATTTCCCTCATAAAAATAAAATAGATTCTCATAACGTTAAGTCGAGCCTGGCTAGTATCTATATGGTGACCACTTCGGAATAGAAGATGATGTAAGCATGAATGTGCGTGGGTTGTAATGGATAACGTCTCGGAATTTGAAATCAGAGAGCCAAATTCCAATTCCAGTCGAGTACGTGATATTCACTTGCGAGCGAATCCACTTCTCCCAACTACGGGTTAAGTAGTACGAATTGTATCAGTAAATGAGTATTAACTCCAAAAGCTTCTTACAATCTAAAAGAATTTATGGTCTTAAATAACCTTGAGAAGGTTTTTTTTTATTATTATTTTAATCCCGTGACCAGTAGGTTCGCGGGGACACAATGTGTACAGCAGCCTTAGTAGAAGTGGTGTTTCTTGGGCAAGATAGCCTGACGCAGCCTACCCCTCCCAAGGCCGGTTTTGAATTCAGATTTTTCCTTCTCCTACACTGGTTGACCCAAGGTTATAGAATCCGTTCTGTCCTGCTATTTACCCATAACATGTGGAAGAAGAAGAGGATTCATACCTTTCCCAAGTTTATTAGCAAGTAAGTGAATGTAACGGATTCGACTTGAGAAGTTTCATAGACCTTAAAACTCAAAAGAATCACTCAATCTTTTTCTTTACTTGTTATTGTCTTTTACTTCTACCTTCTCAGCTTTTACAATCTTCTTTATTCTACTAATTCATCTTCCTTCACATAATATTCTTCTTTCGTGTCTTCTTTCATTTATATCCTTTTTCATTCCACTTTCTCTTCCCACCTTTGTCATATTCTCTTTCTCTCGTATCTTATTTTAATTATTAATTCAATTTAATATTTGTCTCTGTTTTCGTTCCTCTGTAACAATGTCTTCCACATTTTAATTTTTCTTTCTCCTTTCATCATTTTCATTCACCATTCTCCTTCAGTTATTCTTCAATTCGTTTTTTTTTAAACTTAATCTTTTTCCTAGTTTAACCTCTTTTTTTTTGCTCTACTTTTTTCTTTTCTAACCATTTCATTCATCTTTTCGTCTCCTGCCTTCCACTTCCTCATTGTTTTTCTTTTTCCCGTAACCATCATCTCTTCTTTCCCTACTTAATTTGTTAATTGCGAATTCATTATCTTTCTTTGTTTTTCGTTTCTCTTTATTTTATTTTTTTAATTTATCTTTCTCTTTCCGCCATTTTTGTTTTGATTTCGCTTACATTTTAGTTTTTTTTTTTCTCGTCTCCATTTTTATTAAACTTTCTCCTTCTTAGTTCATCTTTCAAGTCATATTTCCCTCTCTTCTTATATTTCTTCCTTTATTTCACCATTTATTTTCATAAATCACAATATATTATCTTCGGTCGTCGTTCCCCATTTTACCCTTTTTCAATCTTCTTTCTCTTCATATCAGGTTCGTTTTCTTTTTTCTTTTTCTGTACATTTGCTTCACTTTCCTCTACATCTTTTTTTTTTTTAATCCTCTACACTTTTTCATTCCATTCTCTCTTTACCTCTTTACATCCTCTTTCTAGTTTCTCTTCTTTCTCCTTTTATTTTTTTTTTCATTTCTTTCTGCTCTTCTTTCTCTACTTATCTTGAAACATTATTTATTCTTTTTCTTCCGCCATTCTTCCTTCTACACATTAGCTTCGTTTTTTTTCTTCTTCTGACTATTTATTACTTTTTCTCATCTAGCACCCCTTATTATCTTTCTTGTTCATTTCCTTCTCCTCACAAAATTCTTAGTTTCTTTCCGTTAATCTTTCTCTAGTTAATTACTAATTTATTATTTTTTTCATTCTTCGTTCCTCTTTCGGCTCCAACCTTCCTCATGCTTCTTTTTATACTAACCCTTTTCCTATTCTAATTTCTATTCCTACATTTTTGTCTCTTTTTCTCCCGCCTCTTATTCTTTTATATTCCTATTTCTTTTCCCTTTACTTTTGTTTCTAATTCTTCTTTGTTATTTACCTCTACATTTTTCTCCTTTTTTTTTTACCATTTTACCGTGCGTGCCATGAAGCCATCACCAAAATGCTGAGGAGTTTAATCAATTTATGATAACGCAAAGAAAATGAGTCTCACTGTCAAACAGAACCGACCTGTAATAACGTGTATCGTTAAGAATGGAGGTCATTCTTTTTCTTTTATTTTTTTTGGGCTCTTTCACCTCATTATTTCTTCTTAGATTTCTTTCCCATTTTTCTTTGATTCACTTTCTCTTCCTTCTGGTTTCTCTTTATTTTTAACTTATTTTACATATTTATTTTGACACTTATTGCTTGTCATTAAAATGAAACTAATGAAAAATTGAAGGGACGAAAATGAAGTAAGAGAAAGAAAGGAAAAAAAAACAACAAAAAAAAGAGATAGCGTAGAAAGTGTATCCCATCATTCCACTCCTCCTTTTCGTTCACTTCTTTTTTCCACTATGGAATATATTGCTATATTTCATTCGCTTGTAATTTTCTAGACGTATTACTTATTCATTTATCATTGATATTAAACGAAACAGTTTTCTTTCTTTCAACATAATGAATAAATAAACGTTCTTACTATTCTTTTTTGTCCATTCTTTTCTCTTTTCTATTCTTTTTTTTTTCTATTTTCCTTCTATATATTTTTTTCATTCTTTCATTTATTAATACGATAATAACTTCTCCGTTTCCTTTTTTTCATTTTTCACTTAGTCATCATTATATAATATTTCCTTCCTTCCCTCTTTCTTTCTTTCTTTCTTTCTTTCTTTCTTTTTTCTTTCTTTCTTTCTTTCTTTCTTTCTTTCTTTCTTTCAACTTAGTTATTCTCCTTATTCTCTTTTCGTTTCTCTTTCCTGAATATCTTATTTTATTCTTATTTATTTTTCCTTTCTTCATTTATCCATTGGTTTATAATTGTTGTTTTCTTTTTTTTTTGTTTCTATTCCTTCATCAATTTATCCATTCGATAATATTTTATGTCATGTTCTTTCTTTTTTTATCATCTGTAATTCATGTCTTCATTAATTAAATTTATTTATTTCGTTCTATTTCTTTGATTCTTTTTTTCATTCTTTCAATATAAATAGGTTTTCTATTTTCTTTTTGTTTTCGGTTTTTGAATATCTATTTTGACTTTCATTTGTTGTCCTTCTTCCGTTTACAAATCCATAAATATTTTCTCCGTATCGTTATCATCTTTTTCATCTATTGTTTAAGCCGCCATTAGTTAGCTTTCTTTCTTTCTTTCTTTCTTTCTTTCTTTCTTTCTTTCTTTCTTTCTTTCTTTCTTTCTTACGCCACTGCTTTATTTCACTTCATCTTTCTTTCTTTCTTTCTTTCTTTCTTTCTTTCTTTCTTTCTTTCTTTCTTTCTTTCATCGTTTCTTTCCTTCCCTCACTTCATTATCTATTCTTTTTTCCTTTCTTTCATTTACTCATTGTTTCTTCTTTCTTTCTTTCTTTTACTTCAATATTCCTTCCTTCTTTATTTCTTTCATATAAGTTATCTTTTTCTATTCTTTTCCACTTTTTCTTCTCGAATGTGTTTTGCTTTTAATGTTCCCTACCTACTTTCATACTATTATTCACCAGTTAAGAATTTCATGTCTGCTTCTATCTTTTTCGCTTTCATTAATTATTTGTCTTTCTTTCTCACTTTCTTATTTTTACACCACTACTTTACTTAATTTACTTCTTTATCCATTAATTCTATCATACTTCCTTTCTTTATTTTGTCATCTATCTCTCCTACTCTTTCTTCATTATGCATTCTTTCTTTCTTTCTTTTTTCTTTCTTTCTTTCTTTCTTTCTTTCTTTCTTTCTTTCTTTCTTACGCTTACATCATCTCTTTCCTTCCATTACTTTTCCTCTTTTTTTTTAATATAAATTATGTTTTTTATTCTTTTCCACTTCTTCTTGAGTTTATTTTGTTTTTAATTGTCCTTAACTTTTTTATTCCTTCAGTTATTGATCCATTAAAAATTCATTTGTATTGCTTGTATTTTTTCACTTTCATTAACTATTTTCTTTCTTTCTTTCTTTCTTTCTTTCTTTCTTTCTTTCTTTTTTATCCTCTTCTTTATAACACTTACTTCATTATCAACTAATTCTCTTCTTCCTTTCTTTCGTCATCTCTTTCCTTCCCTTAATTTATTATTCATTCTTTCTTTCGGCCTTTATTACGCTACTTCTTTATAACACTTACTTTATCATCTATTAATTTTATCTTCCTCCTTTCCTCTCCTTTCTTTCTTTCCTCATCTCTTTCCTTCCCTTACTTCATTATTCTTTCTTTCTTTCTTTCTTTCTTTCTTTCTTTCTTTCTTTCTTTCTTTCTTAGGTTATCTCTTTCTTTCCCTTAATACCTTATCCATTCCACCTTCTTTTCTTACATTCAATCCCCCATTCATTCGTTCTTCTTTCTTTCTTTTTTTCTTTCTTTCTTTTTTTCTTTCTTTCGTTCTTTCTTTCTTTAATATAAATGATCTTTTTCTATTCTTTTCCACTTCTTCTTAAACTTATTTTTCTTTTAATTGTCCCTGCATTCCTTCCTTCTATTATTCATCCATTAATAATTCCTTCTTCTGCTTGTATCTTTCTTCGCTTTCATGAGTATTTATTTATTTATTTATTTTTCTTTCTTTCTTTCTTTCTTTCTTTCTTTCTTTCTTTCTTTCTTTCTATACCCCACCCATACATCCATCCATCCAATTTTCTTTCTTTCTTCCAACTCATTCTTTTCCTACTCGTCATCATTCGCAGACAATGTGCTAATTTGAATCGGTAAAAAATGACAAATAATGTAGTCAATGAACGAAACCGTTCCTTTCCTCCACTCATCCCACCGACCCTATCCACCTCTGCTCCTGCTACTGCACGGTGTCCCGTCATTTACCGTGACCACGCTATTCTCGTATCTTATAGAAACAGTGAACGTCATATTACAAATGTCTGTTTGAAAAATTGAATTACAAACAGCAAATTGACGGTAATTACGCAGCACAATTGGTTCTTAATGTTTGCAGGTGATCAGCCGGTGTCGGACGGCGATTCTTCATTAAGAACGGACAAAAACTTGGGGAGCTCCGCCTTTCAGACGGCTTCGGTTCAATCACTCGTCAAATCGAGGCTTGCAACCACCTCTCGACCCTGCAAAGACCCGCGCCAAGTTTTGGTAAGAACGCGAAAATTAAATAAAAAATCTTGTTGAAAAGAATCATTGAAACGTTTTCTTATACTACTACTACTACTATTACTACTACTACTACTTATATCATTATCAACACCAACATTACTATTATTGTTATTAGTAGTAGTAATATTACAGATACTGCCATTATTACTCGTATGACTATTAATTAACCTACAACGATAGACAACTCCACTAAATCTGCAAAGACCCGCGCCAAGTTTTGGTAAGAACGTGAAAATTAAATAAAAAGTCTTGTTGAAAAGAATCATTGAAACGTTCTCTTATACTACTACTAATACTACTACTACTACTACTACTTTTCTCATTATCAACACCAACATTACTATTATTGTTATTAGTAGTATTACAGCTACTGCCATTATTACTCGTATGGTTATTAATTAACCTACAACGATAGACAACTCCACTAAATCGGCCATATTATCGCGTCCTATTTAAGTTATTATTTTACACTTTCTGTGATTAAAATATCATCCATCCCTGTATTTTGGACAACACAGTTGCACGAATTGCCCATCTGTATGTAGTGAACCATTCTTGTAAGGTATTTGAAAGAAAGTTTAAACTTGATAAATTAGCAATTCTCTTTATTGAGGATATCGTAGAATAGAATTTTTATTTATTTAAGTTTATTTTTAACTTAAATATTGAACATTACTTATTGATTGCTTATTGCTAAATGTTTCCAAGAGAAAGTCCAAAGAAAATTACTTATTAGGAATCTTTTGGTTATTTTTTTTTCAATTATCATGATTTCTGGCATCAGTTAATGGAGTCGTACAATATACTTTATTATTAATTGTCACATAAGTGCATGTCTTTCCTAAACTGATTTAATGGTTTAAATTCATTTAAGAAAGCAAAAATGTTATGAATCACTGGAAAGTTATATAAAATGTATTAAGTACAGAACAGTTGTTGGTTATCAAATACTTTTGCACGCGCGCACACACACACACACACATGCACAAACACACACATATCTCTTATAAATGCTTCTGTTTTAGTTTAGCCTTTTCTTTTTCCTTGGGTCTTTTCATCCTCTCTCTCTCTCTCTCTCTCTCTCTCTCTCTCTCTCTTCTCGCTCATCTTCTATTTTCATGTATACTTAGTATGTATGTTAGTCAATGCAAACCAGACGACAAATTTTCATATATACATCGGCAGTGTAAATTGGCTAGATTTTAAATTTGGATCGTATAATCAATTATTTTGTTTAATGTCACCACAAATGTATCCACATTTTCCGGTGTCTGTTTTTAATTTTAATTCAACGAATCGGTAGTGATTTTTGCATCTGAAAATGACGCATATTTACCCGTATATCACTAATTTAAACCGTTAATTAACTTCTCTCTTTAAAACTTCTCTCTTTTAAATTTTATTCCCTACCCTGATCTTAAGGCCTTTCCTGTTCTGCTTTCTTCCGTTGCACCTCTCTCTAGAGCTTTCATACATTTCCCTCTCACCCGTGTTTCACACACCCACACATAAAATCTCCCTGAATGTTGTTTTTTCATACCTGGAGTTATATTTTCACATTTCTTCTTGAATTTGTAGGTTTGATGAATTGGATCGTGATTACAATTTCAATGTAATAAATTATAAACACGGAATATTAGTGTTTAAGCCTTTTATATAATATATATTCTTCTTAAATATATATTTTATTTATCTATTTTTTTATTATCTAACGACCGTTTTCCTCTTCACAGGAAGACGCAGCTTCGTATCCTGCCGGAGAGACTCCATATTTTTCGCTAATAGTATTTCTCGAATATTTAGGCTGGTAGACGAAAATAAATAGATATACTGTTTAATAAATAAATGGAGCGTCTACTCAGTATAATTATTCCTAAAAATAACGTTTATATATATATATATATATATATATATATGTATGTATGTTTATACTACTGTATATATATATATATATGTATGTTTATACTACTGTATATATATATATATATATATATACGTATACAAATATGCATATCCATAAAAACATTAAGTTGCCATTAAATTTCTTCAGACATACACAAACACACAGGGACACACACCTACATACACCCACACACACGCACGCACGCACACACACACGCACACCCATATATATGTGTGTGTGTGTGTGTGTGTGTGTGTGTGTGTGTGTGTGTGTGTGTGTGTCTGTTTTAAAAGCAAGGAAAGTTTTTTTCTCTAAGGCCCTTTCATCCAGCATCTCACCAGGAGTAAATCGTTGGTAATAAATTATACGAAAGTACAGTAACAACGAAAATGAAGAGCAAGACAAGGAAGTTGTGAAGGATAATTGCTTAACTTGAGCGTATTAGAGAGGATTTCCTTACGGGTATCTATCGTAAACCCACTTTTATTGGACTGTATTTAGTGTGCGTTTGTACCCTACATCAAGGAAAATTAGTCTTATTAAAACCTTGCTACAAAAAGATCTCAAAATATGTTCCCCTACGACACTGGACTCTGAATTGAAGAATATCAAGGAGCTTTTTTTTGCAATGGCTATCCAGAAGCCCTTATTAATTATATTATTAATAAGAAAACAAGTGAATTTTATTCTCCTAAAGTTCTGGAGCCTTCTAATTGTTCAGTATATTTGAAAGTTCCTCGAATTGGGGATAAGATTCAAAGTTTAGTTAAGCAGATCAATAAGTCGGTTTCTAATTGTTTTCCGTCTGTTGCACTGCGTTGCATTTTTCGTACTAGGTTTACGATTCCGTCGTTTCGTTTGGATAATTTGCCCTACAACAAATTGAGTAATTTGTTTTACGAATTTAGTTGCCACTATGCTGCTAGTTATGTGTGGCGTACCACCTTACATTTGGAAACAAAGTTCAATCAGCATGTGCCTTCGAAAATAAGACTTGACAAAATAAGTAATTTGTATTACTTTTCCTCTTCGAATATGGAATCTGATATCGCGCAACATTTAGTGGAAAATATAGCATGTGCCACGTCTTATAAGAAAAAGCGGTTTAGAGTTACTCATAGAGCTGTTTCGAATAATCATTTAAAGATTTTGGAATCAGTCTCTATATCACTGCGCAAACCTTCTTTCTGCCGCCAGAAGAATTTTGTCAATTTGTTGGTAGATATTTTATTTTAATTGTCACTCGCTAATTGTATTTACACGAGATTCCCTCGATATATATATATATATATATATATATATATATATATATATATATATATATATATATATATATATATATATATATATATATATATATATATATATATACAAATGTTTTAAATATCCGACAAATGTTTTAAACAACACAAACAACCATCAACAGAAATCAGTGAGAAATATAGCGACTCGCATTGAGGAATCGGAGAGCAGAGTTCAAATTCCAGTCGGATCCAATCTTCAGGAGTTTTTCGCTTTTAACTGCTGTTTTTCTCATTTTGTGTTTTCTTTATAATAATTACAATAATCCAGGCGCTATTTGCGATGATCTTATTATTGTTTTTTTCGTAATCAAGTCCTTTTTTAATCGATACATGTTTTATCAATTCAGCTTTTGACAAATTTTTTTATTTTTATCATCAATAAATAGACCACTCGATTATCCTACTGGTAGGCTATAAATATTGACATACTAAGATGGTCACTTTTTGTGCCCGACGATTGATACGTGCATGAATTACATCGAACGCTTAAAAACCAATGTGTTTGCGTTTGTGTGTTTGTAAGGGGCTTGTGTTCGTACATGGCACTAAATTCAGAAAGATAATAGGTTGATATTCTCGTAAGAAATGGTGTTTTCTCAGCAATATATGATTTTTATAAATTATTGCTAGAGACGCAGTTTCCGATGAGAGAAGAGAATCGGTTTTCAGCATTATTTTGTTTCTCTATGTCTGTATATTAGAACAACTCTTTTTTATAATGATTTCACCCCCAAGCAATGCCAAGATAATAAAGCCACTAAGACGCAACGGGGTTACTGAGCATTAGAGAATATGAGAAAAAATTTCTATTTAGGAGAAAGAACAATAAAAGTACGGTTTTTAACAGAATATAACGATTGACGTTGCACTTGAATTTTTGAAAATCAATGTTAACTGGAAAGAAAGAAGCCGGGATAGAATTCCACAAGCGAGAATTATGAGAGAAGAAACAGCTAGCGTAGAACTTACGGTCACATCTAGTACTGAATTTAAATTTATAATATCTAGGTACCACAGTAAAGAGTTCATTTACCACGAAAGTATTTATAAAATTAGGCACAGGAAGTAGGAAGGCGGAAGGAAAGTAACTGAAGCCGAGATATCAAGTTACATACGTGATTGAATTTACAGCTGTTTTTCTCCTAGACGTTTGACCAACCAAAGCTGAAGAGATTATTGTTCTCCACTATATTCATTCGGATGAGAAGAATTAAATCCATACCTTTCCCGATGTTATATTCGCGAAAATAAATGTAACGAAACTCGACTGGAATACGAACTTGGCCATTAGATTTCTCGTCGAGCCGCAAACTATTAGACTGCTAGAACATCCTTCCTAATAAATATTTGTCCCACAAGATCCTAATACCTATCAATTAATATATATATTATATATATATATATATATATATATATATATATATATATATATATATATATATATATATGAAAAATATACAAAAAACAAACAAAAAAAATCCTTATATGACTGTTTTAATATTAATATAATGTCAACATCGGACATTTCTGTCTAATAAACCATCTTCAGGACATATTCATAAAATATAATTAACATTATTAGACCGAAACGTCCGACGCTGACATTATATTAACATTAAAACAGCATAATTGCATATAATTTTTGTTTGTTTTTTCCGTATATTTTCTTCATACTGTCGGATCTATATCCATATATTTGCTTATATATATATATATATATATATATATATATATATATATATATATATATATATATATATATATATATATATATATGCATAATCCCAAATCTCTTGAAAAGATAAAAATATATATGCATACATATTGTGAATAAAGATTCGCTCGGAGCGTTTCAATGATGCTATGTATGGCAACACCTAATATTTTTATTAAATTCTCTAAGGATGTTTGAATGAAAATAAATATAATGGGACATTATGTCCTAGATAACCTGATCCAAATCCATATTTTTGCTTATCGCATTGTTTGAGATGTTGCCTATTGTATATCTCCTTATTACTTTTATATGAGGCCAAGTTATGTGAATCATGATTTAGGAAGTTCTTCTAGAGACACATACGTAGAGGAAGACGATATTTGAAAGCAAAAAAGATTTAAATATGAAAAATGCTCGGAGGGAAAAAAGATAAGGATAATAGGCGGGTGAAAAGGAAAAAAAAGAAGACGCGATTTTTCTTTAGTCTCGCAGAGAGTGTGACACTGCGAGAATAAAGAAAAGCAGCGAAAAAATGTCAAGGAAGAAAGGAAGGAAGGAAGGCACAGAGAGGTGAAAAAACACACACAGTAAAGAAAAGAACGAATTTGGAATGACAGAGGGTTGAATTTGCCTGTGAGGAATGAACAAGTTACATACGGGCAGTGCTTCCTCTCTTTTTATTCAAAATTCAGGCCGGGAATTATGAAGTCACATTTAACTTCCTCTCCTAAGTTTAATTGTTCATTTTTAAGCCGTTTACCACCCACAGAGTTGAGACATTTTTTTTTTTTTGGTTAAGAGTTTTTTTGGTTTTTTTTTCGTCATTTGTTTTCTTAATTTAATTCATTGTTAGATGCCTCTCTGGTCTTCTCGCTGCTTAACTTTGCACGATGGTGAGAAAATTTATCGTGTCGACCAGTTTTCCAACGGACATAGGTCGATCTTTGCTCATAACTTCGTTACTGTATATTAGAGTACTAACGAGTGTGTTAATTGTTGTAGTTACTATTAACGTAGTGTAGCTTTTTTATAAGACACGCGTGCAATTATGGTAAAATCATTGGAGACTGATTTATTTTTACGGCTTATCAACAATTTTGGGGTTTATTTAAAACCGAAATTTATTTTGCATTGTAAAAATAATTCTTTTACCTGTAAGTGAATATTGCATTAACGAAATGTTTGAAAATAACAATAATTTTTCCA